TACTAGCTGCTATAGACTCTTTTCATGGAACGAAAAATCACCCAGAATGCTTTGTGAGGATGCATTCTGCTAAGGAGGATGCTTCGTACTTCCGGTTGGCAGCTTTATGCGTATAAAGAGTCACATTTGGACACCTTCGAAATGATAGTTGTAATAACTATCAAGTTGTTATTGTATTTTACGTCATGGTTTTTAACTAATCCTGCTGTTGATCAGCGCCACCTCCTGTACATGTCATTTAAAAAAATGTGATCGAGTGGGAATAAAATATCAGTCACGTACTTTTTTTTTTCTTTTTTTTTTTTTATTGCATGGCTTACATTTCTGTTAAATTTCATGCCAGTAATGGTTTGCTCTTTATAATACTGTGATGTATTGGGTGTGGAGCTGACAGTTCCTTACCTTTTTCATTTCTGGGTAAGTAGATGCACTAGGAAAAAGTTCAAAATATATGTTGCATTTAATATGTCAAAATGTGCCTTTTAAAATGTTTTAACCACATAGACATCAACTTTTTTTAAATGACACTACAGTATTCTGTATAACTGCTTGCTAACTATAAATATATACAGTCCACCGTATACACAACTCCTTAACTTTATTAAATAATAATGTGCATGTTTTGTAAAGCTGCTTTGAAATGCTAATTATTGTGAAAAGAGCTCTATAAATAAAATTGGCTTAAATTGAGCTGTAATATATTTTAGCTAGTGAGGCAGTTGTTAGAAACTGCTACATCTCAACCCGATGAACACGGTTGCAGTTCACACGGTACCAAATGGTGTGGCTATATATCCACTATATTTCACAGTGTAATTTTATTCGCACTGTAAGTGATTGCGCGTGAAGCCCATCAGTGGGATGTGCTCTGCTGTCTGAGCTAACAGATGAAGAGGCCATACTGGCGTCATACCTCTGAGAGTCCATCAGCTTAATAAAAGTGTCAAGCCGGCTGATTTGTTATGTCTGTTAATAACAGAAGCAAAGGGTTCGACGGGAAAGAGATTAAACAGACGGCTAGAACCGACGTACAGGTGCTGTCGTTTGTCTTCACTCATCCAGCTGGTCTACCTAATACATTTCTTCTCATTTTCTCTCTGTGTCGCACACAAACTATTTCCAGAGGTATTTACACTGCATTGCTGCTTCTGAGCTTTGGGGATGTTCGGTATTGATGGGTATGGGATTTCAGATCTCCTTGGCCAGGTTGTTCAGAATTATTTTGGCAACATACACCGTGCAAAGTATCAAGGACATCGGCTGCATTTATTTTTGGGAGTGAATGCTATTATTGTTGTTCTAATTGTGTGTGCCATTGTCTCAAAAGCTACTTAAATGTGGTAATTTGCCAGTCATTTTAAAGTACTTCAATTAAATAAAGCTACTCTGCAAAATAAATGCTTTTTTTCGAAGATAAATGCAATTGGATCAGAATTTAATTTATTATACATTTATATTTATATTTTATTTTCTATGGTATAACAAGGTAAACCTTGATGAGGGTGGTTGCGTTAAACTTAAACAGATACATTAACACCACAAATACAGTAAGTGAGTAAATAATAATAATAATAATAATAATAATAATAATAATAATAATAATAATAATAATAAAACTCTTTATAAACATATAGTAAATTAATGATTATTTTGAAAGAAATTTTTATTGCATAAAATAGGCCGGTCATGATATCTTTTTTTTGTGTTACGCTATATAGAGCCAAAATTTATTGTGATAAACGATAATGTTGTCATTTTAGGACCATTTGACACTAAAGCATCATAATGCATGTACACTCCTCTAAAGAATACCTACTATTTTATTCTTAAGAATATTTCCTTTAATTATAGTCATTTTAACAATTTAATAATTACAAATCAGAATGTGAGAACCGACATTTCCTAAACAAATAAATAAGTAATAATAATAATAATAATAAATATTACCAAATGGGTCCAAGGCACAATCATCAGGCACCCACATAAAAGTACTATAGTACTTTATACTTAACCATACTGACATTGACACTTTTAATAGAGAGGTTGCACAATCAGCTAAAATGTGGCTAGAAGTGGTTTTTATGTATAGATGATGTATAATTTTTATTATAATTTTTTTTACAGTAAACCCGCATATTAAACTGCTTTTCGAAGTATCATGTGAAACTGAAGTTTTATGTAGATGTATTAATTCTAAATATTATGTTTTACCATGAGAAAAATACATTGCATTTTAAAGATATATATTTAAATAGAAAAGTGTTATTTTAAATAAATAATAACATTACTAAAAATAACATTAGTACATGTTTTGCTTTATTCTGGAGCTTAGGCTCACGGAATCTGTGTATGCAGAAATCTGCAGATTTTTAGCCCATTGTTGAGTATATTATTGTGATATAATAGAAGTAATATTAAAATGTTAATAAGATTTATTTACAATAGTTTGTAAAGTGATTTTTCAGTAATAAAAATTTTAAATGTATATATTTTTTAATTTCATATATTAAGTTTTTAGTTACAATACTCCTAAAATTAATCCACATAAACCCACACACACATTATATATATATATATATATATATATATATATATATATATATATATATATATATATATATATATATATATATATATATATATATATATATATATATATATATATATATATATATATATATATATTTAACAAAATTAATATAAATACCAAATAAAATGTCCACAAATCCTGTCTGGCCCTATTCAGCATGTACAGTGCTCAGGAGTACACCCCTCACAAATCTATCTCTTAAATTCATATTGTTAATGGGAAGCTGTACTATATATTATATTATATTATATTTAGAGCTGTCAAAATAAGCGCATTAACGGACGTAATTAATTTGAAATATTTAACGCTTTAAAAAAAAAAATAATGCAAATAACACAGTTGCAGTTTTTTTTATTTCTTGTTGTGGCCGACGTGTGTTCAGGGCTGGCGCGTCCATAAAGGCGACCTGGGCGTATGCCTCGGGCAGCAGAATAGTGAGCGAACACCCCGGTCCTTACATTCATCCGCTACACCCACCCCCTCCCTCACGGTCCTCGGCCTTCCGGATGAATAAAACACTGTGATTGCCATTTGCCTATAGAGCGCCAGTTCAGTCCTGCATGTGTTTAACTTGCAAAGAAATTTGGATAAGACCAAGGATGTGCTTTTAGAAGGAAAGTTTCAGTATAAAACAATTAATGTCGCATCACCAGGCTATCCTGCATTTCCCCCAGAGTTTCTTGCAATTTCAGGTATTTCATTTTTAATATCTAGACTTTATCTACAGTTCAGCAGTTCACTCTCATTCAGCATATTTTCATTAAGGATGTTTTAATGGAATTTGTTACTGCATGGTGAACGGAAAAACCTCCGCATTTCGAGACTCGCGTGATCATTTAAGGTAATCAAAAATCGCTGCTTAAATGGTAAACTCTTAATCATCTTAATCATCAACGCTGAGTATTACTGTCCATGTGAATGAAAGTGCCAGATAAATTTACAAACTGTCAAAGACATCTGCGTCCATGAGCCCTCAAATGTGTCTCCTTCATGTTGGTGTGTCAGAATTTTTGCTTGTGAAATACAGCCTTAGTTTAGAATGCTTAGTTTAAGCAAATTTGATGAACACGATCGTGCTTGTTGATGAATCTGTAGGGATCCCTCTCGCTCACCGGCCCTGCGCGTGTTATGTGTGTGTGTGCGCGTGCATGCGTGTGTGTGTGTGTGTGTGTGTGTGTGTGTTTGTAGTCCATTTAGAAGCCAACATGGAAAGCATTTTGTTTGTTGTTGGCATTGATTGATGGCATTTACATGCCTGTGTTTTTATTTCTGTAATAAATGCGGCGTTTCGTGATTAATCATGATTAATTACAAAAAAAATGTGATTAATCACTTTAATTTTTTAAATCATTTGACAGCCCTTATTATATTATATTATATTATATTATATTATATTATATTATATTATATTATATTATATTATATTATATTATATTATATTATATTTGTCCTTATACTGTACATTAAATTAGTCAGTACTGAGGCCAAATCTGGAGCTTATCTAACAAAATAACTTTTGATAATGGTCCAAAAACTAGTACACCCAAATTTATGTCATAAAAAAAATATTAAATACTAATTTATAAAAGAGGTAAAATCAAGAGAACCAAAATAATAAAAAAATTTAGTTAAAATTTTGTAGAATTTTGTTGTAATATTTTATTGCAACATTTTGTTGAATTTAATTGTATTATCTTTCAGTTTCTAAATATATTTGGTGACTAAAATATTATTTTAATAAATATATCTAATCTGATTTGTTTAAATGCACCAAAACGCATCGGCCATATTTACTGAGAAATGGATAAACATATTTATTTTTGAAATGGGGTGTACTCAATTATGCTGAGCACTCTAAATAACTTTTAACTTTTATTTAATAAGTCTTTATGTGTCTGTACTGTCCAGCTGACAGCTGTAGATAATCTCCATGATGAAAAGGCAGCCACAAGTATTAGTGAAGATACTCATCTGGTGCAAACAAACTGCAATACATTGCATGTGTGCATTAAACATAAAGTGAATACATGAATATCAGCGAAGCAGCCGGGCAGTTGGGTGTAAATGTTTCCCTCCACAAATCACAAGGAGATTGGAAGCCATTAGGCTCTCTGACGATAGAGCCATAGGAAGCCACGGCTCATTAAGGCAGATTGCAAATGTCATTTTGCTGCTTCCTCCCTGGCCTTGTATTGAGGGATTGCAACGAAATTAATTTTGCATAGAGTCTGGGTTTTTGAATCGAAGCCAAATCACGCATGACCCACAGCAAGTGTGATTAAATCACTGGTGGAGTTTTGAGAAGGAAGGTCAACCAAACTGCAAACCACCCAGATTCCTCCTCATCCAGTTGATTGCCAGAGATTGCCATCTTTCATCTAAATAACTCTTTTCTTCTTCCATTCCCCAGATTGCCTGTTTGTCACTGACTATTTCACCCGGACGCCTCGCAAGCTCAACGCCTACCGCTCTTTTGCCAGCGTGGAGCTGTTCCACTTCAACGTGCCTGACGACACCGTGGTGGCTGTTTGGAACCTCATCACCTTCAAGGAGCAAGGGGGCACTTTTGGAGACAGCTGCCCAGACCGCAACGTCACAGTGTGAGTTGGCCAATCCTCCAGGTTACTTCTATAGAGGGTGAGAAGGGAGGTCAGCCAAGGACAACAGCACGTTTAGGTCATACGCATCCAATCAGCAGTTCAGATCAAAGGACAGGATTTGTAAAAGACAAATGTCATGTCTTTATTTGAAAGTTATCAAAAAAATATATAACAAACATGTTGCAAGAAACCCATAGAGCGGAGGAACTCTGATGCCACCTTGTAGGCCAGTCGGCTGCTAGCATAAAAATGGTTTGCTTGATAAAATCCCCATAGGATTTTCCCATAGCTTTTTTAGAAGATTGCAAACAATAAGCTCTGCATTCAAACCCAGTTCATTACACTTACACGTTTTGTTCAACCGGATAATCATCACTCGAAAATATAACTTTTATCACTTTTAAATTTTAAATGCAAACGCAAGAACTGAAAAGCTAACATTAGGCTATAAACAGGCTCCACTGCCTTTAGGGCACTCGTTTGTGATGTCAGCACCACCCTGCTTCCGACAACTTTTCACTCTTATTTTTGTAATATGGTCCATGACAGATTTACTTTCTTGATTTATTAAATTATTATCCACATGCATTATAAACAAATACAAATGTGGAAAAAACACAGCCGTATATACCCCCTACGTGCCTTTTGGAAAGTTGAACGTGGGAAATATATTTGTTTTGCTTTACAGTTGTTATAAAAGTTTTAAAACACGTACTGTATGTTTTGTAAATGTGCCTACAGAGTATTATTATAAGACATACTTAAATAAGTGTATTGCAAACGTGCAAACAGCCCGGTTACCTTAGTAATGAGGCACGAGGGACAGGTTTATCAAATGCCTGCAAATTCCATCATGGATACAGAACAACATTCAATATTATTTTTTGTCACAGTACAGGGAAAAGCAGCCCATACAGTCACATCTGCTATAAATTTTAAAGAGGAGTGTAAATATTGCAGTTATCAAATGAGAGTTAAATGTGTTCAAATGAAAAAAAAATACAAAAAAAAAACCGACCAAAAATCAATTGATCACGTTAAAATGAAAGTCGATATTTATGAATTTTTACAAATTTACTCACATTTGCATTACTGAGAGCAGGAAAGAGACAGGATGCACTGGTAAGCAGTCATGACTCTCTACAATTGAAGGCATTATCTACACACAATTTGAATTTCCAATTAGAAAAATACTACAAACTTTAAATACTATTTATGAAAATACTTAAATAACAGACAAATCCAAATGCAAGCAGGCCCTGTTCCAGACCAGTTCAGCTCGATGACATAATGTCTTTCACATCGTCTGTTGTCCAATTTAGCAACTTGTAAGCAACAGTCTTTTTAAAGAAGCCTTAAAGAAGCCGGTTGAAAATATCAAGAATGGAATGTAATGTCGTAGAATAAAACATGATTGTATCTTGAGTTTGCGGTAACCACGATCCTTATGCAAGCAATTTAACTGAAATCCCATTCAAAAAACCCATTGACTTTGGGACGAGGTGAACCAGAACGGGTAAAATGCTATCTAGCTTCCGGATTTTTGCATACAAACTGATATCATAGTTTCTCCAGTCCATAGAATAGTAGTTAGAAAATAGTAATTAGAAAATAAAAAATACCCCTCTTGAGAATGTAAGGATGTGTGGTCACACTGAAAAAAATTATTCAAAGATGATTCCTTGGATTTACTCAATTTTTTTTACGTTAAGTGGTTGTAAACAATTTATGTGTTGAATTTAAACAAACAAATTAAGTTGAACATTATTAAACTTAATTTGTTTGTTTAAATTCAACACAAAGAAATTGTTTGCAACAGTTCTGCATGCAACACTTTTTTCAGTGCATGAAATTACGCAAAATTGGCTTAACAAACCTAAAAACTACACATTTTGCAGAAGCTTCAGAGCACACTTTAGAGTTTGTTTTTACACATTTTACTGGTGGATGTGTTCTCTTTGATCAAACCGCTGATTGTTGTGCTGCTAAAAAATTATTAATTAACACTTTAGTTTAAGCTAAATGTAACCCTTCCTATGAAGAAGAATGTTAATTAAAGTGCAACTTGACCAACATAAACTTATGAGATGTTAATGTATCAGTATGTCATGGCTTTACTTGAAGGGGCGGATTAATATTATTATTATTAAGACATTTTTAAAAGCTCATGAACTCCTGTGTTTAAACTGTTCATTATGATGTAGACAGAACACTTTTCTATTGTTTTTAATGTAATCAGGCTATTGACAGACGTGACCATTATGTTTAATTACAGGAGTTTTATAATGATGTTTATAATAATGGAGTTTTTAATAATAATGTGCCCCTCAAAGTAAAGTCATGGCATAATGATACATTATAACTTGTTAGTTTATGTTGGTCAAGTTGCACTTTTAATGAATATTTTTATTGTAAGTTCGGTTACATTTAGCTTAAACTAACGTGTTAATAAATACATTAATTAACAAACATGAACTGACAAGTTATTATGGTAGTCGTTATTTACACATGAACACATGTGACTCGTGTTGCAGTTCATGATTAGCTCATGCCTTAACTCATTAGTTAATATTAAAGTAACATTTGGTTTACATATTAGTACATTATTAGTCATGTACTGTTATTGTTAAGTGTTATCAATTTTAGTATTCATGGCGGCACTCAATGCTTTGTTTTATTTGTGGTAGGTAGAGACACGGTCTTGGTAAATGCTCTTATGGGTACCAAAAAAGTTTACAGATGTTTGGAAAAGTTAAAAAAATTGAAATTAAGCATTTTAACTTTTCTGTTATACATTATATATTCTGTAATAGCGTTCCTATAATATAAGTAGTTTTTTTTTAAACAGCTATTTTATTCAGCTGTTTATGGCAACGGTATCTCCAGCAGAAAAGGAGCATCCTCATCACAGCCCACGATTTAGCAAAACTTTGAAAAACAACTTTATTTATACTGTATCACTTATACACCAACATTCCAGCATGCTTATAGTTGCTTATACCTTATATCCAAAGAAAAGAAAGATATCCAAAGATGCCTTTTCAATTTGTAAATAAATCTGTGTTTTTAAACTAATGGAGACAGAAGTCAATGATTTATTTGAATGATTTAGCCTGACATGTTTACTGTTCCAAAATATTTGAAATGTATCTTAAAATATAATGTATATTGTGTTCAATGGGAAAAGGTTTTTTTTTTTTACCAGTTGTATTATATTTTAGAGCAGTAATCAAAATACAGTAATACCGTGAAACTTGAATAGTGATATTTTTATCCAAGGTTATCATACCGTCAAAATCTTTGACTGGGCCATGCCTAGTTGGAAATTTTTTTTTTGTATCAAGCAAGTAAATGGTGCTCATCATAGACCATTTTTTTTACTGTACAAAGGCAATTTAAAAGTAAGCCACAACTGACAAAAAATACTTTCTCTAGCAAATCTATTAGCTATTTTCAGAAAGAAAACATAACGCTGCACTACATGACAACAAATGCTAAACTTGGTTGAATAAATTATGATGGGAGAACAATTCCTTAGGGTTCTCTTATCCGGCTGGCTGCGAGTGGTGATCTTTACAAGATTTGTGTTTACTATGATTATGACTTTAGTCATGAAATACTTTGTAAGATGTCTACATGATGACATTTTAAAAATGCGGCCTGTGATTGAAGCTTTCTTAGTTATTTAGAAAAAGGTTTGAGATTAGAACAGAATATTTATTTATATTGAAGTAGGTGGATAATGCTTAGATTATGGAAAAAAAGTATGCATCACATCATGGTGATACCTACATTACTTTACTGGCTGTTTAAATTTCCAGTAGTTTAGTTAATGAAGAGGAATAAATGTCTGTCTAAAGATGTCAAAATGGGACCAATATATGAAACTCTAATATTTAATAATACAGCAATTCAGTCTATACAGACTAGTCAAAAACACCTGACTCGGGTTGTACTGCATCAGCAGTATATATATATATATATATATATATATATATATAGTTTATTTGCAAAAATCGTTAACTCCATTTTTAGTTATTTTAAAATATCATGTTTTTATGTTGTGCATTGAAGGAATGATATGAAAATTACAGATAGAAATGTCTAAAACCAAAGTTTTTTAGTTTTCAGAAGTCATATACTTTGAGTAGGCCTATTAAAGAGTACTAAACTAATTTATGAAAAATTCTCTGAAATTTGTTTTTAATTAAACACTTCATATATCACCTTTTTAAAATATAAGAATGTTAAGAGGTTAAATAATCATTATACAGAGATTATATCTATTTTACTGCCCACACAATGGGTGGAAACATAATCAACACATTTAGTACTATTATAACTCATTATCTGCAGTGAACAGGGCTTTCTGTATGAAATTTGTAGAAAAAAAATATACTAAATAGATGAAAAATAAACAAGTAAAAAATGTATAGACATCTACTCATGTACGGTAAGATTAGAGGTGAACAAGGTGGCAGAGAATCTGCTAAAACTTGCTCAGAGGAAAGCGGTTGCTGTCAAATATTGTTTACTTCACATTTAACAGTGAATGAGTTTGCAAAGGTTTGCAAAGAAGGTTCATGCTTACTTTTTAAAAAGTCTTTTTCAGTATCTTTAAAATACCAAAATACATATTTTAAAATACATTTCAATATATTTGTTCCCATCCCTGTTTAAGAGTATTGTCTTGATCATATTTAAATTAGAGTATTTGTGCCCATGTAAACATACTCTGTGTGAGTTGGCCAAAGCTCCAGGTTACTGAGGGTGAGCTAGAGAGGTCAGCCAAGGACAACAGTGCGATGAGGTCAGACACGTCCAATCAGCAGTTCAGATCAGAGGACAGGATATGTAAAAGCCAAATGTCATATGCATGACTACAGTGACCTTTGCGATGCTCATTCTAAAGAGTACTTGCTGTTTGCCCTGATAAAATAGCTTTTAATCCAAGTTCAAGGATCATTTCCCAGATGCTGATCGTTTGCTGTGCTCTTCAT